ATGGGTAACGAACTTGCGAATTCTAATTAAGGATTAAAAGATCTCTCCGAGTTTTCGAGAGAGATCTCTAAATGCTGGGATTAAGAGACGAATTTTTTCGAATTGTCTCTACGTTCGAATCTTTTTCACCCTCGCTCCCTAAGCGAATTACATTTTTCGCTCCTTTTACAATTCGAAGCTTTCATTGCGTTAATAAATTACGTTAGTTGAAAAACCTGTAATTCCTCGAAGAGAAAATAAAAATTAATGTTAATTAATGTTAATAATAAATAGAATAAATATTTCAAAAAATATATCATCAAAAATCACTTGAAACTTGATTAATTAAAATGATTATAAAGAGATACGGATCACCTGTCATTTCGAGTGTGGAAGAGCAAAAAGGAGTAATGATACACAGGAAAAAATAACTTTTCCTCTTGATCCGAGCTTACTCGTCGTCGTAAACATGGTCGTCGTCGGATGGCGACAAAATCGATCGACCAGTTTATCGTTCCTTCACCTATCCCCTTCGATATCTCGAATTAAATCGCGGCTGGAGGCAGCAGAAAGAGGGGCGACCGAATGGCCGTTCGTAAATGAGAAAGAATAGAGAGAGAAAGAATAGAGAGAGAGAGGGAAGGAAGGAAGGAAGAATCGACGGGCGTAACTCGCAAGTCGTAAAAAGAGAAAAAAAAAAGTAGTAATTTCTATCGACTCACCAGATATTGAGGAACTTTTCTCGCACCTTCCGCTTCATGCTGTCGCTCTTCCGCCGATACTGCAATCTGCGGCAGGAATCCGCGTAGAGAGGCTCTGGAAGCTGTTTGTAGAAACCTGAAAGTGACAGCGGTCTAAAGATTGAACCCTTCTGAAAAATCCTTCCAAGCCTCGACGTTTCTCATTGATCGAAACGTGTATTTTCCTTTCCGTATCGTCCATCGCTAATTCTTTCGAATTTTCTATTCCGATCACGACTTGGAGTACACGAAACGAGAAGAAAATTACGGGGAAAATTAAGGGGAGGAAAAGTTTGCGGAACGTATCAACGATTTTTCATCACGATTTATGGTTTAGCGGGGAATATAGGGGGAAAAAAATTGTTATAATTGTCGATCGTAAGGTAAAGGTTGATACGTGTGTACGGATAATACGCGTTTGGCCAGGAAGCGAAGATAGGAATAGCTGGGACGGTTCCTTGCACGGGCAAATATTTATTCAGCGGCAGACGCGTTGGACCGATGCGCTGTTTATTCGCGCGTATATCCATCGTCTCTGGCGGATCGGTAACGTTGCAATGATTTTTCGATTCGCCGTAAGTGGCTGGAAATTTTTCTTAATGACGTTTCGTTGGGAAAAATTCGTTGTGAAAATAACAAAAAAAAAAAAAAAAAAAAAAAAAAAAAAAGAATAATAATTGATCGAGAAAGGAGAAGAAACGTTTGCGTTCGAGAATGATTGGATTGGTATCGAAAAAAACGGAGCCTTGTTTCATTTTTCGGATAGGAGAGAGAAAGACGCGTTTCCGGAAAACTCGTTCGAGATTGTGTTGCTCGACACAAAAGAAGAGAGAGAGAAAGAGAGAGAGAGGAAAATGAAAAATTCGAAAGGTTTGATCCTTTATTTTCCGGTGGCATGCCTCTTTGGCCAGATGTGCAATTTTGCGCACGAACGGTGTTTGCGCGCCACCATCTACCGGATTAAATTATACACGGAAGAAGGAATGATTCACCTTTGTTTCCAGATATTCAATTTCCATTTTTCAATCGATCAATTTTGGAACGATCGAAAAAAGGAAAAAAGAAAAGTTGCGCGAGAGATATAAAGAGAATAACAAAGGGCGAGGAGCTCCTTTTTTTTTTTAAATATATTCTACGAAGATCGCTCTTTTTTTAAAGAACGACGTGTATCTTTGTTGTTGAATTTCGAAAAATCAAAATTTTTAATAAGCAATTTAATACAGGTTGGCAGAGTATACACATGTAAGAGAGGCAAGAGGTTAAAACTTACTCAGCCAACTGAGTTGGTCGTTGTGCTCCAACTTGTTCTTGAAACTGTCGACCTGCCGCTTCAGTTCACGAAGAGCGAACGAAGGCGATGCGTAAAGAGCTTCTTGATGCTCCCGAAGTTGCCGTTCCAAGGCCGCCACGCGTCTCTCGAGAGCCCACAGCACTTCCGCCTCGATCACCCCCGACGAGGCCGGATGAGCTCCGACGATCTTAAAAAGAGGAAATACACTTCTTCCAGCCACGCTCCACAACTTCCATCAACTGCAAATCGAGCGCGTTGTTTTAACCGTCTCAACCTCAACGCCCTTCCCCTCCAATCTAAATAATAAAGGGTTGCGTTGTTGCGTTCCATTTTCCAATTTTAATTTAAAAAAAAAAGAAATAACGGAGAGATTGCCGCGATCCAAAATTAACGCGAAACGCGTTTCTACGTACTTGAAAAATAATTTACACGCGCGTACAACGTATAATTATTTAAAAAAAAAAAATAAATAAAATAAAATAATTCAACGTAATTTAATTATACCTACGTAATTACTGCAACCGGTGTAATATCCATTTGCATCGTAATTATTTTTTCACCTTCAATTTAACGTTTATTATTAAAATTAATGGCTCAGCGAAGGGAGAAGAGAGAAATTTCGCGGAGAGAGGATCATTCGGCAGAATGAGATAATTTGCCGAATCTAAGAAAGATTTTATCATCGATCGATTAATCGAGAGTAACGGATTACGTAACATCTCGAAAAGATAAAAACTTTTCAATAAGAGTCATGGAAAAGTTTCGACAAACGTTCCTCCACTTTTAAAATTAAAAATGAACTTAATGCACAATTCTCGTTAAACTGAAAAATTTCTATCCCTTTCCCTGGGATTAAAGCCGTTAATTTAGAAGAAAAAGAAAGAAAGAAAGAAAAAAGAGCTTCGAGTTTCTTGGAATTATAATAGAAAAGATAAATCCTTATTCCTTATTCTATCCTAATGCATACGTAACGATCGAATAAAAGTTTTTCAATTCGAAACGATTTCATCGACGTGGACGTTAAAAGAGAGCAAGAAGAAGGGCGAAACGAAAATACATAATCGAGGAAATGCGAAAAGATCGGTGAAAGTACTAACGAAATGGAAATAGGCGACAACACGTGCGCAGGATGGCCGAATCGTTACCTGAAGGACATAGGGAGAATCGGGTGTGTTCGCCGGCAAATTAGTCGAAATGTTCAACAGTTTGTCCCCTTTGCAAAGCTTCACGATGTCCAGAGGTCCAGCCTCTGCTGCGTTCCTAAAGAGTTCTGCAACAGAGATAAGCAAATTGTGAGAGAAATTTAGATAATTTCCAACAACCGTTTTGCACGCGTCATAAATATTTTGTTCTCGAATACCCGAGAATATCCGCTCTCGATATTATTACGATTAAACCCGTTGAATGAAACGTGGCAAGAATCGAAAAAGTTGTATATAAACATTTAGAGAGAGATCGTCTGGTATAATAGAATTATAGAATTATAAAAGGCCGATTATTAATTGGACGGATACGACGAAATTTTAATGAACGCGCAACGAGGCGAAATCAGAATTATTATTTATTATTCCAATAGGCAAACTTTCAATGGCCAATTAATAATTGATAGCATTTCAAAGCCTCGATAAACAGCTTTTCGATACGATAATAAACCCGAAAATCTCGTTAAAATCTCAATTAAAGCGATTCAAATCCCCCTCCCACTCTACGATTTTCGATCGCCTACACATCCCTGGTTAACAGAGTCGAACGAGAGAGCTCCGTTCGAACGAACGATCATTTCGATCGTTAACTCTGCTCAGGGTCAAACGTTTCCCCGTGACAATTCCAGGGGGGGGAAAACAAACGACGACGTGGCGTTAAAAAGAAAAAGTAAGGGGGGGAGAGAGAGAGGAGAAAAATGGCACGGGAAAGCATACAGTCGGCCGTGAATTAATTATTCAAATGGCACCGCTCCAAGCGGTGTATCCTTTCGGTGATATCGAGCGTAACGACATTTTATAAGTGCATGTTTTATTCATCGTTCCGAACGCAGTTGTGCGTAACTCGGCCTAACACGTGCATTACGTCGGCGCAATTACAGCCACGATGCCGGAACGAGCGCCCTGTCACAACTTGTTCCTTTCCATCCAAATTTCCACCCGAAATTATTGTTCGCGGGATCGAGATGCCGTGTCGTCACCCTCGAGAAAGAAATGATTCGCGCGAATCATGGACGATTTACGGATCCAAACTCGAGTTAAAAACTCGAATTAAAAACTCGAATTAAAAACTCGAGGAAAATATCAGAAGAATGGATAAGTGCAAGAGTGTTTGTTCGATCGTTGGAGGTTTGTCAAACTGATAGAATTTATCTTGGGTAGCAAACGAAGAGGAAGAACGATAATTAATACCAGATCAGAGTTGATCAGGATATATCGAATACTTTGCTCTCCTGGCTTCACTCCCTCGCAGCATCGGCCAATAATCCATAAATTTAACATCGAGCAAGATGTTGATTAACTAACTAGCATCGAGGCAAAGAAACCGGTGCATAAATCCCGCAACAGGGCAAATGAAATTACCATTTAACAACAACACGAGACGTCAAAGTTTTCAGGGAGGTTGTTGACCAACGAAACGCTTATATTCTCGCTTAACGTTTTATTATATTAGGAGAATTAACACCGATGAATTTCCAACCAATGAATCAACGAAGAACTAAGAGAACACGGATTCGGCGACAATTAATCATCGGTTCGTAAGTTGTAAATGTGTTTTAACGTAGATTTATATCGATGAACGTGATCTGAAACTGGAAAATAGTAACAAACAACGAATTATCGAACGAAAATGATATTTGTGAAAAGATCTGTGAAACGAAACACGAGGCTAACTTTTTCATTATGTTATTTTGCTTCCTTTCTAAAAGTGATTAACGCGAAACGGGGAGAAAAGTAAGCGAAGTGAAGCACTTATTCCAAAGAAGATAAAAAGCGAGAAATGGCGTAGCTTTCGGATATAAAAAAGAAGAAAACGCTAATGGCATTCGGCAGTTGGTTAAAAAACAGAAAGAGGAAGGGAGGGGGCGAAAGTTTCTCGTCGTTTCAGTTATCGATTCGACAAAACGCGAGGAGCTTACTTCTTCCTCGACGTATTCAACGCGAAGATTCATGATTCTTCGTGAAAAATGAGTTTTCCACAGCTCGGAATGTCGTACGAGGATCATTTATAAAATCCAGCTGTTGCTTATACCCTCCTTTTTTCCATTTTCGTTTCTTTTTTCCTTTTTTACCAACGACCTATATATATTTTTTATAAACATAATGGAAAAGATACCATTATCGATTTTAATTAAATCTCCCTCACGCGAATTTGACGGAACACGTTCACATGAAATGTTGTAACGAAACAGATGCGCGTTTTCACTTGAGAAGGACGCGTTATGAATTAATTTTAACGTGCAAATTGGTTTTCTTTTCTTTTTTTTTTTTTTTTTTTTTTTTTTACAATGATGATATTAAACGATTCATATTTAATTAGAATTGTTGGAGAAATATAACATTTTATTTACCAACTTTAATTTTCATTTTCTTGTATATATTTTATCTTAAATATGAAATTAATTATTTTTACTTCTTGAGATCGTAATGAAAAAACAAGGAATTTACTTTTTACGTTCTTTAACGATTAAAATATAAGTTGGCGCAGATTGAACAGACTGCTTGTTCGAAGTAAACCTTCTGGAATATTTGTATAGGTTAATTAATAAGAAATTCTTTTCAAAAGAATTCTCTAAAAGAAAACTTGCATTAATTTTTCCCTCCCTTCGAAAATTGTGCGTCGCGAATTTCAATTATAACAACGAAAAGAGAGTACAATAAAAACATCGATGAAAAAGAATTATTTATCAATAATTTCCTTCGTTATTTTTCTTCTCTTTTTTCTCATCTGTCTTCGCAAGAAGAAAGAACAATTATGAACGAAAAAGTTTTTACAATATTCTCGAAACCTTTTTCTTAAAAATGTATACAAATTAACGAAGCTAAAGATAAATTACTCTTCGAATGGAAAATAAATTTTCCAACAAACACTATTTTTCTAATAAAATTCTCTTTGTGTCTATAAAAAAAAATCTTTTTTATAGATAGGACGAGAAAATAGAAAAAAGAATAAAAAAGAAGAAAGAAAAAAATTTGCCGCCGAACTTGATTAAATTTTCTTCCTCGTGGTCCAAATTGAAAAAAAAAAAAAAAAAAAGAAGAAAAATACAATACACCAACTATGATCAAAGTATGATTCTAATTCAACGATTTCGCATTGATCTCTGAACGACGATGAAAAGTGGCAGTGGCGCGAACAGATTTCTTGTTGACGTTTTTTCGGCTCAGCCAAATATGAAATAGAATTTCGAAAACAAGCTCTTTTGTACAACGAAATCCCGTGGTAATTCGTTTCGACGGTTGAAACTGGAATAAAATTGGAGGGGAAAAAAGTGGATCAACCGGAGAGATGAAAGAATAGAAGCGGGAAAATATTTCAGGGATGTTTTATCTCAACTTTCACCCTCGTTCGATGCGTTAATTTTAAAAATGTCACGGGAAATATGGCTTTCCTCCTCCTCCCCCCTACCCTCGTATCGTAAAAATTCTCCCTTTATGGGGAATCGTTTCGGTTATTTGAACCGTGGAAAAAAAACTAGGAAGCATCCCTGAACGAACGAGAAATCCTGAATTCGAGCGGCACGATGGTGGAATATGGCTATGTCTTTGATTGTTACGAGACTCGTTATGCACGTGGGGAACATTTTAGAGAGAAAACGTGTGCAGGTCGAAGGTCATGTTAGAAGAAGAACGAAATTTTCATTGTTCGCTCGATAACATTTTTCTTACCAACGGATCGGATTTCGTCGTAAAAAGCTCTTGCCTAGTTTTTTTCTTCTTCTTTTTTTTCTTTTTTCTTTTTTTTTTTTTTTTTTTTACGAAAATTTAAGATAAATAAAAAACACTGAAGAGCAGCGGGAGTCAGAGTTGTGAAGTGCGAGAGAAAAGCGATCAAGGGAATGAAAAGGGGCAGCACGGGTGAAGAAAAATTCCAAGGTTCGTGTTGTTCCAATATTCATGAACTTCCTGTACACCCGTTGTGCACGAGAAGCAACGCAGACCGAGGAGTGCACGAGTGCGACTCGCGTACCCACGCCCACGCGTGCATTTCAATGGAGGCCGCTAATTAAACCGAAACTGTTCATAGCGTGGCGCGAACGATATTTACAATCCTACTATCTTTCGAATTCCATTTAAAATCTAAAAACGGAAACGACACTAAACGATAAAAAAACGACCAGCCCGTTTTTATTAAAAATTCCACTCTTTTCAAATTAATCGTTAATTAATTAATTAATTAATTGCGAAAACTCGATTCCTTTCGGGTTATTGTTCGAAAATGTTGTTGAAATAAATATAAAAATTTCAAGACGTTTTCTATTTAATTTTTTGGAGAGCAAAGTTTTTAAAATTCGATTTTTCATTTCCATTTCTTCAGAAAAAGATGTAACGAAAATGTTACTTTTCAATACAAAAATTTGTAAAATCCGCGTGTCTCTCCTTTTTTTACGACCTTATAAATTTTGAAAATTTTTATTCCGACAAATCTTACACGTCTTGTTTATTTTTTTTTTTTTT